CATTTTTTTCAAAATCTGCTTTATTGTTGACAGAAAAGAAATGGATGGAAGAAGAAGTGGAAACCGATAACATTTTTTGCGCATTTTAATAAAGATCTACTAGCGAAATAAACCATGTGAACTGTCTGCTAAATAGTCCAACTTTAATATGTACGCGCTCTAGACAGCGTGACAAATTGCTGGAAATGTGATCCAGAAACTCAAGCAGAATATGAAATCCGATTTGTCAGTGTACCACTCAAAGGGGGTATTGAATGTTGAGAAGAAAGGCTACACGGTGACAAATAGCTTTTTCGCGTTACCGTACTGAAGGTATGGGAAAATACAAAAAAAAAACATTTAACTCGTAACGATTGTTGTTTGATAACGTATTTACGGTTTTGGTTAACAATAGCTTGAAGGTATAACGCAATAATGCCCAAAAGTTCATATTACACGCAGATTCACAATTTTTAAAAAGTCCCACTCGCCAATAAATTATAAGGACCCATTTCTTCAAGACTTTTAATTATGGCTTTTATTGTAGATGTGTATAGTGAATTTAACTAAAGTTATTAAATCATAATAAAGATTAGTTAGTTCTCTGGTAATAATCATCAAATGAACCATTTCACTGCGTGTGTTCATATTCTCTTCTCCCCGAGGTATTTTGCATTCTTGTGTCATATTCTGTCTTATTTCCGAGTGGCTCCAGATGAGTTCTACATAAAAATACATTATCATTGCTCTTCAAAATGCATATTTTATTAACACAATTAGAGATGATTAATTCGTCAGTAAAACCATTTACAGTACGGCATTGATATATTCACTTTCTAAGCCTCCAGAGACAGAAATGAAGTCTATAAAATTCTGCCTTACATGAAAGCTTCGATTTGGGAAGGCACATAAATCATTTGGAATGACATGAGCTCGTATCTATCTTGTAGCTTGTCGATAGCCGCAGTTTATTGTATTCCAGTGTGTATCTATGCTTTCTTCTTTATTTTCCATTAATAAAGAGGAACCGGAAAGGTAAATATTGAGTGAGGTAATCAACCGAACGGTACATTCGTGATAATATGCGATATATTAATAATAGTGAGAGCAGATAAGAATATATGATATTGACACACTAAAGTAAACGACATTCCACCTATGAAAGATTCTCTCTAAAAAAAATATTCAGATTTACCTTGGGTATAAGCATAACATTCTCAGAACGCTTAGATCTTAAGTTCGGTAGTAAGAAAACATTATTGAAATTTAGTGGTTGTGCGGTAGCCCCCGGCCAATTAATTGACTTGGATCCGTAAATCAGAACGAGAAAATGCTGCGAGGATTCTTTTACTGATCTTTTCGATTTGCATATGATAACATTATTTTAGTAGTAGGTTTAAAGTATCCTCTAAATTTTTAAAACGCACAAACAAATCACATCTTCGATCCTAAATTGAGCATTAAATTGGCATTCGTATCGCACTGTCGATCATTAGCACTTATGCTGCGAAAAGGGTATTTTGAACATTAATAACACCGCGAATGAAGGGCGAGAAACTCATGTCTTATAGACTGCTAGAGAAAGAAACGGGCTTTCGGTTCTGTTCGCGCTGAAACATTTCAAATGTTTTGGTACTTTACACTCAAATTTCCTTGGCTTCTTAACTTTTCTAATACCAACATGTTCGATACTTATACTAGGCAGTATAAAAAACTGAAAATAATTAGGTGAAATTCTCCAACTTTGGATTTTTTGTTTGCTGATTTCGGATTGTAATGAATATCTACATTCTATTGCTATTCTATGTCAACATTCATGTGCCACGAAAATAAAATTTTCTACTGCAGATTTAGTGGATATGGTTTCCTTGGGGGGGGAAGCGGTATGAAGTACTGAAATTTTGTTCTTTCCGAGTTTACGTACAAAAGTATCCTGTGAGGAGAGATCAAAACCAGTCGAATGTTTGAAAACTATTATTTCATATGCTGGTCCAGTTTATTTCATTTTATGAAACACTGTTTTTTTTTCGCAATAAGTTTAACATATGCAGATTTAAAAATTCATAATTTCACTTCTTTTTTTGTTAGGAAATGATGTATGGTTGTTGATCCAATTCTTTGTCTATCTGTCAACCATCCCAAGTTATACTCATGAAGTCATATTTTGCTCTTCCTTTTATCAACACTAAAATTGTCCTTTAACCCTTTTACATATTTACATTACATCATGTTTGATAATTGTCAAGATTTGGTTCTTTTAAGTACGTTTCCACGTTTGTATTAACACCTGTTTAAACAGGGTTACAAATTAATTTTCGGAAAACTTTTATGTGAGCCAATAACATTAGTCTTACCTGCATGGTTTGCAACATTGTCAGATAACTTAAACATGTTGTTAAGATTTTCGAATAAAGTCCAAAGGCTTAATATCGTGGTAGACATATTTACTTTAAATATGC